AGTTAATAAATATTTCTTAAAATAATATACTTAATAAGTACTGCTTACTTTGATGAATGTTTCTTCTTCGATTTACTTATTATTAGAAATTAATTTTGATAATTATTATTATTTTCTTATTATCAAATTGAGAAATAGGCGCAGAAAGCTACAAAAATTAGTGACCCAAATTAAACAATGACCAAATGTATTTATTGAAATTAATTTTCGTAATTTATGTTTTTTGAGAACTTAGTAAAAAAGACATGACGCAACCACCCTAAAAACAACATGATTTTCGCAATATTTCGTAACTTTTCACGGATAAAAACACCCAGTATCACAAAGCAAAAAAAAAACCTTCACGGGGCTTTGAGGAATTAGATCAACTCAATAACCTTAAAATCTTGCACTGCATTAACTTGCTCCAATTACATGCATCCATTTGCCACATCACCTATCACTTTACCAATTTTGTAGTTTCTTTCTATATTAAGTATGCAATATTTTGTTGTGGCGTAGGCTTCGCCCATGCACGGCCCACAAACCAAACGAAGGAAGACGACACCTACATTAAATTTATGCCTACATAACGCTTTTTGCTTGTTATGAACTTGAACACCTCCGTAGCGTTTATCCTTCCTGTTTGGTACGCAGTTTGTATATTTTGTGTCGGTGGCCCTCGCATTCATGTTTGTTGCCATGATAAGATGCCGAGTTTGACTATTATGGTTGCTTCTTTTAACAAATAAAAGTTTCTGTTAACCCGTGTGATTTTACCATACGCTGAATTTAAACAAGCTAAATATCTGGTTAATACTTTATTGATTCTCTAAATTCAATTTAAAGTGACAAAACATTATACAAGTATTCATTAAATAAGGGTTTTGAAGAGTTAGGTTCCTGTTTTATTAGTGTCACAACTCTCACAAGCACAATCTAGATTTTTTTCTTTAAAGAAACTTCAATTCCTGTAAAAAACACTAAAAAAAGTAATCATTCGAAGTATTGATATCAAAACTGCTTAGTATCGACGCTGATTTAATAATCACCAAATATATCAATGTAATCTTTTATACCTATTCTAGTTTACTAGTTTATTTGGTACTTACTTCCTAACACTTCACTTGAGCCAACTAAAACCGAATTTATTTTTTTTTAGAACTCTTATTAGAACTTTATAAGGATTTTGGAACATATGATCATTTCTCAATCTGACCTTTAATTTACTGTTATATTTATAAGTAGTGGTGTTACAAAGTTCTTTTAATTCTAAAGTATTAATACACTATCCTTGCTACTCCTAAAAAAACTATTTTCTGAAAGTACGGAAAATCCGAAGCAGAATTCTTATCAAAACTGCACTACCCTAATACCAGTAGTAAATATTACTGTGTCAACAGTACACAATAATTATGCGTCATTTGTAAAGGACAATTTTCTACGGTTTTCCTAAAGGAATTTCCTCTTTTGCATTTTCTCCTTTAACCGTGCTTTACATCACATTCTTTTTCTATTTATACATATTATTAATATAAATAAAGCATTAATATCAACAATAAGATGGTAATGTTTACGGCTCTCCAAAATAATTAAGTCCCTTTTCTCTATTATTTTTGCTTTTTAGTACATAAGTTTTTTTTATTCCAATTAACATATGCCAACATTAATTAAGCATCATTGTCGTCAATGGTAGTATTTCTTTCGGTTTTTTTAGAAAATAAATATTTTTACTCCTTTAATTTTGTTTCCTAGTACAGAGCTTATTTCTTTTATGTCAATATGCATATATTACCTAAATTAATTAAACATCATTGGCATCAATAATATGGTAATATTTTACGTTTCTCCAAGATGAATCTGAAGTACTAATGTACTTCATTCCCATTAATTTTGCCTTTAAACAGAATAATTTTTTCTATGCATTTACCGTTGATTTTAAATGAATACTTTTTTAGAAATACGTTTTAAAGAAATATTATGAATAAAAAATAGCACGTGTATCTGGCAACTTTAAAATTATAAATTTGGTGACGTAGACCACGCGTGCTACGAGCATTGTGGGCTACCACGTGATGTTGTTCATTGAATTTTTCTGACATATTGAATGTAAAATAATTAAATATTTAAATGCATGCAATAAACTAATTTTTTATGAAATGGAGCTATACGCTAAAAATTATCACTGATGTTATCTTTAAAATATGTGATAAAGGGAATCGTCTGTAGTTAAATTTAAAACGATAACTAACGTATAACAAATCAGAAAATTCTATTTTGTTTTACGCTCATTACGCTCGAATGGTTCGTTGTAGAATGTTCTAAAGTCGACAGTGACCTTTCTCGTGCTTGTATATCAAGTTTAATCCATCTCGGTTGGATGGTTTAGGAGTCTATACATTATTTATGCTGAATTTTCTTAGTTAAACTGTGTACGTTTATAATAAATATATTGAACTTGTTTCCAAAAAATTTTGAAATTATTTTGTTGATCAATTCGCTTTTACTGAAATTTAAATAATTACACTAGCTTTAGTTTTAATGATCTTATTTATACTAGAATTTAAAATTTATTACTTATTATTTTAATTTTAAGGTACTCTGAGAACTATTTATGACGCTGTTCAGATTATAGGGAGTTTGGGGGATTTTCTTAATGCATATTTTTCTAAGAACCCATTAACTTCAGAAAATTATTTTTTATTTGGTTTCTTGACTTTTTATGGCTTTTTTTGAAAGAACTATTTCTGCGTCTTGAAATTAGTAACAGAAATCTATTATAAGCTTATGATTTAATATAGAAAGACTCGTACGAGCCCTTCTATAATACAACTTTTGCTAATTCTTGTTAAGAAAGTAATTTTTTTTTTAACCCACCCGAAATTTTCGTTGAGACATGTCGAATTCTAATTCACTTCTTCTCCGCAATTACGAAACGAAATATTATAAATATATGGATTGTGCCCTATAATAGTCACAACTTTAAAAGTAAAATTTTGTCAAATTTTGAAAAAAAAACACTAGTGTTTGATATACAAAACCAGTTATCGAAGTTAACATGGTTATTATTAATAATACATGTCAATTACTTAAAATTAATGCCTTTCTTATTAAAAGAAGCAAAATAAAATACGAACTTACCTGTTTCACCAGAAAAATGTTTTCATCAAATATATCATAGTCATATTAATTAAAAGTACAAAATAATCATATTCATCATTTGCTGACTTGTTATGTGGCTATTAAATAATGCCTAAGCGATGCAGGAAATGTTTACGCTTTTCACATGTGTTGATTTCTGGCATTGTAAACACTATAAAAAATTTCGGATGAAATTACAGTATAAAGTATAGTCATTTTGTCCGCAAAATCCTTTTCACTATAAAATATTGCACAGTAATTTTTACAGTAATATATATTTAATTAGAGTGATTCAGTGATTTTACGGTAATTATTACTTTAAAAATTACGGTAGATCAGATTTTTTGTTCCATAACATGTTCCAGTAAAAATGAATTTTACGATAAAAGCACTGGAACCCTCACTGCAGGTATTTTTTACCATAGTTTGATTTGGAATTTTTTACAGTGTACAACACTAGATTTCCAATTTTGCCGGTAATTTATTTAAATGAAATATAAAAAGTAATTTCGAAACATCAGCAACAAAAGAAATAAAAAAAGACATATATTTATCCATTTATGGCGTGGACAACTTAATTTGTTTCTTTTCTTAAGTACGGTTGAAAAAATAAATCCTCTTTAATTGGTGATTTCATTATATTTAAAATTAATTGATCTCTAATTGATAAGCTAATTGAAGCATATGATGTCTTAAATCATTTTAGTTAGTTTTAGATCGTGCCTAATATCATTTTAGTGCTAAACTCACTGACAAATAAACATTAATAATTTTATTAGTCACATTCTAAATATCCAAAGCAACAATGACTTCATAACAAAAACAAGTATAAAAAATTTACATACAATGTTAAAAGCTCAGTTCTGGAAGTTAATTAGTTTTCAAAACTACAAACAACAATTCATTAAAACAAAACAAAATGTTAAGTAAGAATTCTGGTAAATGATTATATATGACCAAAAAAATTCATCCTACACGGAGAAAAGGATTCTGGTAAATCTACCGTACTGTATGGTAAAGGCATTTCTGGCTTAAAAAATTTACATAATTCTGGTCTTAGAAAGTAAAATATACGGTATTTAAACCATTCATTTGGTACTTTTTCTATTCATATGGCCATGGAGTTGGTTTCCAAAATTACAAATTTTATTAACACACATTTAGTAAAAAATACAAACCTGAAATGTAAATTTAACCGAATAAATGTTTTATTTTACCCTGATCCAACGTATCATAATAAATTAACAAATTTCACCATATTTACCAAATTTTATTACATCTTATAAAATGATATTTTATTGCTAATTTTCCCGAAATCATTACCAAAGCATTCCTGTAAAAATTACATAGTTTTTTGGTGTTCACACGGAGCTAGAAATACCGGAAATTTTACCATATTCTGGTAGTTTTGACCATTCTTTTTTTTTCTCAGTGTTACATCATAAAAAATAAATTTCACATATTTTACAAGCACAGTTGTTCATAAAATATACAAACACATATGACAAACAAAATTAAAATCGATAGTTCCAATTATTAATTTTTTACTAAAATGTCAATTCATAAAATACGTAAATGATTAACAGCAAAGAAAACAAGTAAACAACAAATCCTATCTAAAAAAATTGTTAATTTTGAAGTTTATAATTATTTTTGTATATTTTTATTGAATCCCTTAAATAAGAAAGAGCTTTTTTTATTTTGCTTTAACGCTTTGTGTTTTTTTTTTTTTTTTAATTTTCCTTGAATAGTTATTTTGAGAAATTCAGAGATTGATGGCTTAAAATTTGATATGAGATTTAAATTAAATTTTAAATGCAATTAATATTAAAAATTGATTACTTATACAGTTTATAACAGATCACTTGAATCTTCCACAGCTTTATATTAATTTACTGCTAGAACCTATATATTCCAATTTATTTAAAATTAGATTGGAATTCACAGTTTTAACATCGTAATTATTCTAATTTACCTAGCAATAAAATTTTTAAGAACAATGATTTTTAAGAACAAATTAATAAATTAAGAAAGTTAACAAAAATGAATTCAGTTCATCTATTAATTCCTTTGCTTAAAATTTTACATTTGGGCCTAAGGTATTATTTTTTACCGAATTTCAAACTATCGGAAGAGAAACATAACATTTTAATTTTACTGTAAGAAATTAATATAACTAAATGGCTGCTCAATTTCGAATCTTGATTTTTTTTCATGTGATTAATATAGTATATATAAAATACTGTATTTCTGTACTTACAATATTAGTTATTATACTTATTTAGGACATTTTATACGCATTTTGAACAATATTTGAGCATGTTACCATTCTGTTTACATTTGAAAAACATTTTTAGCAGTTACGCTTGCAAAATTTATTAGGAAAATTTTTGCTTGGAAGGCATTTAGTCACTATACGTAAAATGGTACAGAGTGTTTCAAAAAATCCGCATAAGTGTCGTATTTGCAGGGAGAATTTCTGCATTGTTTTCATTTCTTAGAGGAATTCAACAAATGAAGGAAATGGATGTGATGCAATAGCCTGTGAAAACTACTTAGATGCATTATTGTACGCACAAATTATAAAATTAATGCCAACAAAAATTCAAGCGTACAAGAATTGCATCTGTGAGCTTTTTTGCTGTGGTGGAAAGCAAAAGCACGATTTCGATATCAGCATGATTATACCTCTCTAACATTTTTATTGCGTAATATAAGAGAATTCTAACTTTATGCGGTTTTATGGTTCACCCTGTAGAAGAAAAAAAATGAACGTTCCATTAAAAAAATTAGAAACGTTAGGTTATAGTACATTTAGTTAAACAATCAGCATTTCTCTCATGAGTTTTGGCAACAAACATTCCAAGCATCAACATAAATAAAATCCTTAATAGTATGAAATCTAATATCAATAAGATTTTAAGTAACATAGGTGACAATGCAAACACCAATTGTCAAGACTTTTCAATGTCCACTTTTCGATATTCACCATTTTTTTTGTTTAATTTTGTTAAAGTAATTGAAAAGTTTTGTTGAGTCTCAGTCCATTAGCTAAAATGTTTAGCTTACGAGTTTCAAACCAGCAAAACAATAACTCAAAAGACAAACTCAACGAGCATGCCAGTCCCTTACTTGTACCACAACAGATTGTCCATCTTGTCCAGGCTTGACCCGATAATACTTCTGATTATCTTTCTTCTCTCCCATCGTCTTCAACTTCAAAGGACTAGCCAAAGGACTGAAACTTTCCGGTGCAAAAAGAGAAGACGTTCTTAAATCGTGTGATGACTTTGACCTAGAAGCACTCCCTGATGGAAAAGAAGATTTTTTCTTGATGGATGCGGTGGAATGATGTATTGGAGAATCAGGGGGAGACATGGAAGAAGAGCTACCATAGTGGTCAGAATTCAATACTTTGATCACCCTTGGTGGGGGGCTTGAAGGCGGAGTTGGTGGAAAAGGCGATTGGTATCCAGACTCTGGGGGTGAGGTAGGTATTTTTCTAGATTTGGAAGACTGATACCAATGAGGTGATTCTGAAGTTTTGACTTTTCTACTGGAGCCGTTTGTAAGCAAATCATGGCTGTTTTTCTTATTAATTTTAATTTCATGTGTACGATTTTTCGTATAGGTGTCGTTGTGATGGGACCCAGTCCAGTCGCTTTTGTGGTAGCCATTTTCTCTGATGTCTTTATGAAAAGATGAATTATTGTAAATCGGAGACGAATTGCGGTGGCTGCCGTAGTCGTTTGAAGAATAATAGCTGCCATAGCCAGGTGAGTGCAACGAATCAGAAGATTTGTAATATTTTGAATGGGATAGGGAATTGGTTGTATATGGAGATTTGACTTCTTCTTTTGTAATTTTCACTGTTCTGGGGATGGTTAAGGTACTTCTACCGTTCGCTGGCCGGGATGGACTAAAAGACCGTTCCCTTCCCATACTCTTCAAAACTGGATCGTCTTCCTCATCTGATAGGGAAGCTTGAACGTTCTTATCTGTTTTGACTCGGGAAACTTTGCTGTATAATACACCGTTGTTTAAAGCATCGTATCTGATGGGATCGGTTAATTTGCTTTTAGGTATACGGTAAAAAGAATCGCTACGTTCTCCATAATGCCCTGAAAGATTCGATCGTCCTAAAGAGTTGCTGTCTCCAACAGAATAAGGCGAACTAAAACCATCTGTGAAAGAATTGTTCTTTTTCTTCCAACTGTTAATGTGGTCTCGTTGGTATGTGTTGTCCTCGCCAAGGTAAAATGTTTTAACAGGCGTCTTTGACCTAGATGATCCTGAACTAGAAGACACTTCAAAAGGGGATGCAGTTGATCGTCCCAAGGTATTGTTGTGCACTGGCGTGCTTGGAGGATATGGTGGAGATGGGCTATGCTCATTGCGCCAACTGGCTGTCGATTGACGGTTTTTTAAAGTAGAGGTTCTTGATTGATCTTTGTTTAGAGTACCCCTTGGTGATAATTCACTCGGGCTTGATCTATAAATAACAAAATAATTATAAAGACTTAAAGATTTTATCAGAAAAAAATAAACATAAAGCAATACAGTCTTTCTACTTGGATCATATTATAATTTTTACAAACTATTAAACATCAGTAATAATTAATAATAAACTATGAATTATTATTAATTCTTTTCAAATGTATTTTCGCATAAATTCGAGATTATATTAATGTTAATTCCCCTTGTGAATTTATTATTTAAAGGTTATTAATTATTTAAAGGTTTTATCAGAAAAAAATAAACATAAAACAATACAGTCTACCCTACTTGGATCATATTATAATTTAACAAACTATTGAGCATTAATAATAAACTATCAATTATTATTAATTCTTTTCAAGTGTATTTTCGCATAAATTCGCGATTATATTTATGTTAATTCCCCTTATGAATCTATGGGTACAAATAAAGAGAGAATATACATTGTGCTATATAACATAAAGTTAAACAACATGAATAAATCCCAAATAGTGAATAGTGAGTAACAATAACGAGTTACAGGAAATAACAAAAGTGATAATAAATAAATAGTAAATCGTGAATAAATGTTTATTTGGTCTGTTTTATGTCCTTATCTATGCTTTATTCACGTTGCATAGAACATTAGTAAAACAAAAGCATGAATAAAGCGCAAATGGTGAATAATATTAATGGATTGTGAGGAATAATAACTAGTAATGGTAAATAATAAAAATGACAATAAATAAATAGTGAATAATGAATAAATGTCTGCTTTGTGTCCTTATTTATGCTTTATTCACGTTGATTAACTTTATTCAAATTAACGTATAACTTCACAAATTAAATTTATAAAAAATTCTAAAAGTAGAGTGTTTAGAAGTTAAATGGCATTTTTTTTCCATCTATTTATTGAAAGTTATATCGAAAAAAAATTTCCAGAGACAAATATATCACAAAATTCATTTTAGATTTCCCTTAAAAATCTAAATTTGTCACTCATGTCCTATTACTCGTCAGTTCCATTTCCTTGTATACGCAAACATGCACAAATTTTGTTTATTTTAAATCAGACAGGTTTCCACAGTCAAAATCTAGAAGAACATTTTTTCAATATGAACAGTGGAATAACCAGATAAAGTATCTAGCATATGGAAACCCGTCCGTAGCGTGTCATTACACTGCCCTTGATTTCTGATAAGTTAACTAAAATCATTCGAAAAGAAAAAAGAGAAGAAAACTAGTTTAAACCTTATACGTCTAGTGAAGCTGCAAGAGTTTGTTCTCTCACAATAATTTATTCTAATGGCTAGTTTGAAATAACATGTCAAAAAAGATAAGATTTTCCCACGTTAACAACCTACGAAATATTCACTCAGTTGGTCTTAAGTAAGCCCAAACATATTCCATGCATAAATTATGCAATTGTATATTTTTTATTTTATTTTCATTGCAGCTACTTAACGAAAGCTATTCGCTGATTAAAAACCTGTCAGGATTCAAAATTACATAAGTTCAGTATACAATTAAGTTAATCACGGGAAAGTGGTTTAAAATCTGCTTTAACACAATAGACTGGTTTTGGGACAAAACCCTGAATATTTTACATATTCTTAGACTATTTGCAGGTTCAATAGCTTATGAAATTATAAGCTTACATTTTGAGGTTTACGTAATGAAATTGGCTTATTAAGACCGAGTAATTATCATACATTGTTAAAATTATTAAAGATAAGTTTTCTAAAAATCAAGTAATTTGAATACAAAAAAAAATTAATAGCTAGTTTAAATGATAAAAAAAAGGCTCTCAAGTAATCTAAATAAGCTAATGTGGTGAAGAATTTTATATGAAATATAATATTGTTTGTAATAAAATGTAATATAACTTAGACAATAAATGATTAAAGGAAAGGAATTTAAAGTATTTCACTTCGTTAATAACTTTCCAACTAATTCTAAAGGAAATTTTGAGCACACAAATTTTATATCATTTTCAATAAAAGAACACCCACTCAATTGAAATCACTAAATGCGACATAAAAACTGTTGAAACAATACCACAAGTTTGAAAATTTAAATAACTATATAAATAAAACATAACGTTAAAAGATAACAAGTTTCAAATTTATTGATATATCGAATATAATAAAGTCATTAATTTTGCATTAAATAACTTAATTGATTCAGTTTAAGTAGATTGTACTATATTTCCACCACTAAACAAGCTGAACTGTATTTTAAATTCAATAAATACTTGTTTAATAAAAATTCACCCTTTTATTGCATCGTAAATTCAAAGTCAGATCTGCTGTTCAACACCGATTGTAAAATAAACTACATAATAAAATCGATTTTTTTCAAATTGTGCATGAAAGCATTTTAGTAAAAAACACTACGATTTTCGTGATAGCAATAAGAATATTTTGTGCTGACGTCTTCTATAAATAGTTTTATCCCAAAATTGACAAATTAAGAAAGATCTTACTTTTTCAATGAATTGCCCACAAACCCTTTAATTAAATATTAAATTCAAGCATATTTAAACTGCAATAACAGTCCTATGTTATCACTAAAGAAAATTTAAAAATTTTAATCTCTTAAAAAAAGCTGTTTAAGAATTCCGAAAATCGATATGAACAATTTCGAGTCAATGTTTAAAGCAACTTTTCAAGCAGTGATTTGCTTCTAAAACCAACGCACAAGTATTTGAGTTGAAACATGAAACTAAATCATGTTTAAAAGACATTTCGACCTACCTATGAGGTGACATTTCAATGGTTATTCTGTTTCCTCCTGACCTTGTCCTTATATTTTCGTTTCGGACATCGTTCGTTATTTCTTTGGGTCCTCCAAAGTGGTCGTCGACCCATCTATGTGTGACAGCTGGAAATTCTTGACCATTTTGTCTATGGTTTAAAATTCTCGATCTCCTTGATTCTTCTTCCAATTGATCAGAAACTTTCTGAAATTCTTTCGGGTCTGTATAGTATTGAATTGTACGCGCCGTTTCCCCGGATCTTTCTGGAACCATTCCTTCCTCAGCTTCTTCTTCCGGTACCTGTGGGAAAAAAAACAGCTCTGATTTAACTTCTTTTTATTAAAGCTAATTTTTATTCAATAAATGTATCATATATTTACTAAATATGACTTATATTCATTAAATACAAATTGTAATTTTTATGAAATATAGCTTATAATCATTAAATGTAAAGTTACGTTTATTGAATCTAAACTATATTCAAAAACACAACTTTCTATTAGATTTAACTACTTTTCAAATCTATCTTATGTTTCCAAAATATAACTTATATTTCCTAAATCTAACCTATATTTATAATTCAACTTATATTTACAAAACATAATCTATAATTTTATTAAATATAGCTTATAGTTATTAAATGTAAGTTACGTTTATTGAATCTAAACTATATTCAAAAATACAACTTGTAGATATAACTACTTTTCAAATCTATCTTATGTTTCCAAAATATATCTTATGCTTCCAAAATATAACTTATATTTCCTAAATCTAACCTATATTTATAATTTAACTTATATTTACTAAATATAATCTATAATTTTTATTAAATATAATTTTTATTAAATATGGCTTATAATTATTAAATATAAGTTACGTTTATTGAATCCAAACTATATTCAAAAATACAACTTTTATTAAATATAACTACTTTTCAAATCTATCTTATGTTTCCAAAATATAACTCATATTTCCTAAATCTAACCGATATTTACAATTCAACTTATATTTACTAAATATAATCTACGTTTACAATTTAACTTATATTTACTAAATATGATTTAAGTTTATTAAATACAACTTATATTCACTAAATATATTTTATGTCTCGTAACCTCAACTTACTTTTACTAAATGTTAACCATATTTACTAAATAAAACTTTTAAATAAAACTTGTATGTATTAAGCATAAATCCTTTTTTTAAACAGTACTTTCGTACAGCAGCTTTAAACCACTAATTTCTATTGAGTATCAACAAAGTGATAAATATACTTTTTTTAACCCATTAGGTTCTAATGTTCACATTTTGGGAACGTGTATTTCTTGTTTAAAATATATAGACTGGTAATTCAGTCATTTTATTCCTAGAATTTATCTCGGAGTACCAAATTATTCACATCTGTCATATTATTGTAAAGTAATATAATTTCCTTGGACGGCAGAATGATTAATTATAACCCATCTCGCCTTTGGTTTCATTACTTATAGTTATTGCTTAAACGTAAAGAATTAATGGAACTAGAAAATATATAGAACTTATAATTTGTGATTTTTAAAACATAATGTTATGGTAGATATTTTTTTGTCAAAACTAAAAAGAAAGAGATAGGGGGCATCCATTCCAAAAATATGGGAAATTTTCCTGGATTCTAGAAACAACAGCTTTCATTTTAAGCCTGAAAAAAATAACATTTTCGTTCTTTTAGTCTAATAGTAGTTCAGTATAATTTTTGCTTTATTTTTACATCATTTTAATACAGCGATAAATTAAGATAGTAGATATACAGATAACCTGAATTGTCATTAAACATCGAGCTCCGGTAGACGTTTGAAGACTTTAGTTAACAAAAAAAGTCAAACTTATGATGTAAAATGGTAAAATAATTCTACTCTTAACAGTCATAAAACAATATAAATCAGCAAACATCAGACTTAGAACTCCAAGCGAGATTTAAGAACTTCTGTTAGCCGAAAGGTTGTCAAAATTTCAGCTACCGATAAATTCTTTTGGCGATAAAAAGACGATAAATTATGTTTGTAGAAATTATGAAATGATTTTGACTTGCGTTGCAATCAGATTTAATGGCCCAGATAAGATTTGAGTACATTATTTCGTTATAAAGTGGTCATAATTTTGATTGATGATAAATATATTTCGCGAAAAAACGGCAATAAGTTATGCTTTTAGCGATTAGGGAACGATTTTAAATTGCATTTTCATCACAAAAGAAGCTTTATTAGAGCTTTAAGTGTTCTACAAGTTAGGCACTCGTTGCAATTTTGATTGGAAAACTCCATCCTCTCAGACGCAAAAGCATAGAAAAAACAGTAAAATACATCTTTTCATAAAAATAGACTCATAACAAAATTTAATCTTATTGCAAATATGATGGCGATGAAGATGAATTTCAAGAAAATAATTACTAGAAATATTACGGAGTTGCTTTAATGCTGATAAATCGCTAACGCTTTTCAATAATCAACAGAATTCCAAATATTGGAAAAACAAAAAATAAATATAAAAAATAAATAAATAAAATATAATAAATAATAGTGATTAATCTATAAAACAACGAAAATAATCCCTGGGCCGTGAGCAGTGAGTTTTTAAACAAATAATAACATTCCTTCACATAAATCTTTTCCGATTTTATTTGAATTACAAATAAAAAGCTTCCAATAATAATGTGTTTCAATGTTTACTGATAAGAAGAATTAGTGTTTAATCAGGAATCTCAATCAATAACATTCAGAAGGGCAAGTTTATGCAACACCTCCATTCTTGATGAAGGTCAAACTTTGCAATGCTAGGCTTCTTAGAAGATTTCTGCCCACAGAAATTTATTTCTCAACGAACCAGAAGTACATCAGGTGGGTTGGTATAAGTCTTCAAACGAAAATTGTATGCGTTTCTTCAACAGAAATTAAGATTCATATATAAAACTTGGACTGCTCAGAAGTTTTCAAGTAGACAAGAGAGTTAATTTATATTCGTGCTTAATTTTTTATATTTGTTACTCCTTTTATTTATCTGAAACAGAAGAAAAGGTTAAAAAAAAGAAGAATGTGGTTTAATAAATATGGCAGTTTTGTATGGAAATATCGAATTGCATTGTTAGAAATTTCTCGGAAAAATTGGTTAAATAATAATTAATTTAATTGTTATTTAATACCATATTCAAACAAAACAGTCAAATATAACCATAATTAAGATGGTAATAATACTGTTAACTGTACGAAAAATCACTTATTAATGGATTTCACCTAATACGGGTAAACAACCAGAATTTTATCGCACCAACTAAACCCTGAAATCTGATTCTCTTTGACTTGAATCTGATCCTCTTTATTGAGGTTTTCATCTTGAGGAGGAGACTTCACGACATATATTTTGTGATTGTGAGGTCCTTCAGCTCAAATATTTGAGCATTTAGAGCAACATTGCATTAAGGCCTGGGAATTACAAGATATTCCTGTCAGATGTTAGCTGAACTCTGTTTCAGCAAAAAAGTTTTTTCGTTAATCATGATTTAGGGTTTGTGAATAACATGCCTCTGGTTGATGTGCCCTGCTCTTTGGAGCTGCCCAATCTCTAAGTCTAATCCTAACTAATGAAGCCACTTACAGTGAAATTTCTTTTTTACTGTTTTGAAACTATGTTACTTGTAAATAATGAGAAAACCATATATTTTTGTACTCATGGTTTCATAATCATTCCAGTTGTAAATGGTTTCAAAAAAAGTTCTTTACCATAAACTTTATGGTCAATCAGATGGACATATTGCTGCCGGTTAGTTCAGCATAATTTTAGAACGAAAATTCTAACAATGTAACCAAGTGTTTAATAGTAATTGCTTTCTGTAACTTGCGTGTTTAAAAAAACGGATGCTCAAAATATATATATATATATTTTTTCGTTTTCGTTTTTGATGAAATTGTTTCTTCAAAAAAGTACTCCACTTGAACGTTTCGTCAAATTGAAGAAATATAATGTTAACTTACTTGTTATTAAAACATTACATTTAGTTCTACATATCATTTAACAGAAATGATTAAACCTTTGATGAAGATGGGACACCGATGTCTATTTACAAGCAAAAAATATTTTGGTATATTTTAATTATAAAAAGTAGTCTTATATTTACTAAAAAAATCTGTTATATTATCGTAATTAGATTTGTGCTAAATTGCGAAATCCAAAAAACGTCATTTTAATTTTTTTTTCTATTCAAAATTTCATCAATGATTTTGTAAATTAGCAGCATTAGATTTGTACAGCATGACTTTGTAAATTAGAGAAATTTCAATGATAAATAACTGTTTCTCTTTGATCTAAATAACTGAAATAAATGTAAATTTGAAAAATTATTGCTCGGAAGGGAGCCATTTTCGGAAACTTTTACCTTTAACACAGAAAATGACACCGGTGATTCATGCTGTACATCATAACCATAAATTATTAAAATGCTAAATATAGTATTTTTAATTTATTTTGACCTAATTTAATACAAAATCAGGAAAAAAGTATAAAAAACGTGTTTAATAAAAATTTTGTAGGGTTAATAAATATAACATGAGGTAAGAAGAGTATGAGTAAAAGACCCCGCAATCATAACCTAGATCGCAACCAAAGGGGGTATACAAGATTTATTACACCCACCTGTAGAGTTACAAAATCTCGGTAAATTTAGCAATTAATTTTTAATAAAATAAAACTTGTGTAATTTTTTATTTTGTATGAATTTTCATATTTCAAAAAAAATACTAAAAATCTTTTCTTGTACTGATGTAATAAGAGTTTGAATAAATTACCTCTCGAAGTATGAGTGTTCCTTCAAATGTTGAAATAAACTAGCAAAAGCCTCATTTTCGTTATTGTGAAATAGAAAATGCACACTATTTTTGTTTCTTTTAGTATAGTTTTTGAAATTATGAAACGCGTAACGCATAAAAAGTTTAAGGTCATAAAAAATTTAAACACAGTTTTTGATGCTTTAATACATGTATATGATGCCATACAGTATTATAATAGCCAAACATAAAGCAAATTAAAATAACTCTTAAGGTTTGGAATTTCTTACCGATTTTTTATTTATGAATTAAATTTATTTAATAGCAAATTATGAGTAATATATTCCACTACTTAAACTATAACCCTGACCTCAATATAGTCGGTTCAAGTTAATTACTTAACAATTTAATTATGTTATACATGCATATAATTAAATTTAATAATATTTAATAATATTTAAAAATTCAATAACGATATGTGAGAATTTCTTAAACTTTTAATTGAGTTTTATTTTAAGCAATGTAATTTCATACCATGAAATATATGTTATTTACAAGAACTTTGTCTTAAAATATTAAGGCCAGTTACCAGCTCAGACTAGCAACCCTCCGGAAACGGAAAAACCTTACCTTTTTTTTGTTATTATTATTTCTGCTCGATTAAAGTTACAATTAAAGGTTTACTCATGTGGAATATTTAAACAATCCTCGAATACTAGAATTTAACTGTTACTTGTATTTGTTTTAACGTTGGATATCACCTGGAAGTAACTGTTAAATGAATGACCAAAAAGCAAAAGTTTTAAAAAAGTAAAAAAAAGAAAACTACAAAGAAACATTTTATGAAAAGAATATGCAAGTTTTTATTCTTTTTATTAAACTATGGCTGTTTATGACAGCAGAGAAAGAGTGAAAATGAAATTTAGCATCACATATAATGGTGAAAAATTCTTGAAATCAGCAGATAAAATGCTTTTGAGTTATTTATTTTTAAATGGTACATAAAATACATGATTTAAAGCAAAATATATCAAATTTAACATACGCTAAATCAACCAAAGTTAAAATATTAACCGATTACCTATGTAGCACCTTAACGCCTGATTTAGTAACTAAATTAAACAGGAAAATATTTAGTTTGCTGTCATTAATAAATTCTATAATTCCTTCTGAATCCGCATTATCAGTTTTCAGTTCGTAAAAAATTTCCTCATTTAGTACGAAGCATTTAAATTTAAGAGGACACAAAGACGCAAAGGTTAAAATTTTGTATATTATTTCATCTTAATTTTTAACATGTCTTATTATTATTTTATCTAATTTTATGCAACTTAAATTTATTACCTTAAGTTTATATACATAATTTTGTTATCTTAATTTCATTATTTTACTTTTATTATCCTAATTTTATTATCATTAATTTTGTTACTTTAATTCTTCACGTGTATCTTTTTTACTTTTTTGAAAATATAACAATTTGAAGGAATTTCTATTGATAAATCCTACATACCTACCTAAATAAAATACGCAACAATGAAAAAATATAAAAATGTCTCCCGCCTCAAAACTCACTGGAAATTTCCAAATTTTTATTTACAAACGTTTGATAAGACTACAAATAAACACATGAATCAGTTTTTACTTCGACATCTTTTTTCTCCCAAAATTAAGAATTTCAATAAAGTCAAACAACAACAAATCAGAATATTGACATCGAATTTCCTCATTTTAACGCTTGTAAAGACGCTATAATATATATATACATACAAAGTAACCAGCAGGGTCGTATTGTAGACCGCCTATTAAGCCTATAATTATATCCTCTGGTAGGGTACACTAGTAACCGGTAATATAATACCTAGTCCAATACGAATATTATGGGTCAATATTAAGAGGAAATACAGAAATCCTTATATTAAGCTTATGCCAAACATTCACGAAGAACGTTAAAGAGGTGAAACATGAGAACAAAGTAAAAGAATATTTTGATAAACAACATAAAGCTCATGGCAAACTTTCATGAAAATTGCTGAAAAATTTAAACCCGACGAGAGAAAAATATTAATTAAATATTAATAAATATTATTAATTAAAATATTATAAAATATTATATCCTATGGATAAAATCCTAATTTTTGTGTAAATAAATGCAAAGTTTCAAATAAATTTATTAGCATTCAAAAACAATTTTATTGATAAAAATATCATTGCATAACATAAATTTTCTTTACTTTTTATACAAAAAATATTTTTTCTAAAATTTGATGATTTTTAAGGTCCCGAATCCCTTAAAGCCAACATAATGTGTTTAATAACATAATGCCCAGAGTTTAAATTCTCCATAAACGTAGCAAAGTTGTTTGAAACATTATAGAAAATAATACTCATAAAGTTATCAAAATTTTCTGCATATGCTTCGATATTCAATTAAAAGTAGTACTTACTTCGTCATCATATGCCTCCTCGTGATGATGCGTTCTGACAGTCTCTGTAGATACTTCACCATCTTTAAGTTCTGATGTTTCTTTCACTTCGTCTTTGTCAACTATCTTTTGAGACCTACTGGAGAAATGTGTGAGCTTTCCTGGAAAATCTCCAAAAGAATTTCCAAAACTTGGATCATCAGGCGAAATGATGGTTCTTTGATGAATTTCCTAAAGTAAAACAATTTAATTATTTATATGTATTCAACTACGGTATGCTTTTTGTATTATTTTTATAACCGTCGTTGAACAGCAGACCAAGTTTTGAGTTTATGACTACCAATGTTTAACTTCGTAACCTTGCAAGTTTGAACTTAATCCTGAAGATAAGGGAACTCCTGCATCAAGTATTGGGAGAAATTTGCCTTCTTGAAAGACTTTTTGATGAAATTAACAAATATTTGCGTTATATGGAGAAGAACCCCACTAAAACCTCCCATAGTTAGCTTGACGGGATAGAAGGGGACGCTAACCCATTATCCGTCTATCAATGAGGATATTTTACATCAGCACTGTGGTCGGTGAGTACCAAGTGTGGAATTTGTATCAACCAGCCATCGAACCAGGTGTCACCTCCTTTCGGAGGTGAGTGCTAATAATTTGAAGAGAAAATAAACCATAGTGGTCAGTGAAACGAATACTGAAATTTTTTTCGTTGCAAGTATGGATAGTGGTTAGTAACGAGTTATTTTTGTAACTAGTTCAAAATATGGACGCCCGGTGGCTGAGTAGTAGCGCTTTGCGTTCCCGTGCCACAGGTCCTGGGTTCGATCCTTGGGCCGGGCAAGGTTGATTCAGCTTTTCATCCCTTCAGTGGATCGATAAATGAGTATCAAGCATGCTTAGGAACTAAACAATGGAGGTTTCGTGTTCGGCTGACCACCTAACCGGAACATCTGCTCCTGCACCCCAGAGCCGGTGGTCAAGAAAACTGAAATGATCACAGTAGGCCTTGGCCCTCAATGGGCCGTCGTGCCACTGCGTTTAGTTAGTTCAAAATATGCCATTTATTTGGTTTCTTTAAAACTTGAACTATAATCAATTATTCAAAAATTTATATATAGGGTACTAAAAGTAGCTTTGGGTTTAAAACGTTTGCTTGCTGTTGGACGATCATGTTTCTAATAGTGGTGATGACTGGCATACCGCTCCTGAACTAGAGGGGTAGGAAAAATTATGCATTAGAACCCTAAATTTGGCTTGACTACTCAATTTTGATGAAGAATTTAATACCCGATATACATAATAAGATCCAGCTTTGATATTTTAAAAAAGCTACAATTAAAATGTACTATGTTGAACAATTCATTTCACGAAAAAGTTGGTAAATTTTAAATCTACTGTCATTCAAACATTGCATAAATATCAGTGAGTGCCTTAACATACAACCGCAAATAGCATTCAACCGTATATTAGGATATAAATTATGCGCAAACATTAAAAAAATCACTGCATCTGTTGCCTAAACATGTCGCATACTCCCGCTTCAAAGAACGATGTCATAAGTTTGATTTAATATATAGAGGAGAGACTTTGGATCGAAGGTACAGTGTAATCATTTGCGCCATCTGATGGAAAAAATTCGCATTCAGTATCAGTTGTTGATGCTTGTAACAACTGGTACTGTCTGCTGCGTCGGGAACCATTTTAGGTTTTCAGGCATATGTTTTTTAATTCCTAAGTAATTTTTTTTTCAATCAATTTCACATGAAAATAAAGCTTTAAAGCACTTAAATTTCAATAAAGGGCTATAGTAGATAAGTAATAAAATGCCATTATATTTAACTTAAAATAGCAGCTTTTTTTGGAAAATAATTTATTTTTTCTAAGCCATACAAAATCTGAAAAGGGTAGGGCGTGTTGTATTACGGTTCAAACCCCTTTCTGTACCTTGAACCGGTTTACGGTAGGTGCAGCACGGTAGAACCAAGTCTGTGTTTAGAGGATCTTAAAATAAACAGAAAAAAAAACACGTACTATCAAGTGAAACTAAAGTATATGTGTTGTTCTTATGGGCGATTCCACGAAAAGTGGTCCTGAGTGACTAAATTTTCAAAATTATCGTAAAATCAAAAATGACACAATTTCGGAATCTAGAAGATGTACATTTTTTAATAGTTAAGATAGTTTTTTGAATTACAAAAAATATTTATGTGAATTCTAACAAAAGGTGGAACACTATGAATTTTAACAGGAGTTCTCTTCTTTGTTATGTTATATTCCAATGGAGTTCTTAAAATATTAAAGAGCAATAAAATAGTTTTTAGTAATAAATATAACTATTTTACTCTTTTATCATTGTTTAATGTATTTTTTTAATTTGGCCTAAATTTTTTTGCTTGTTTGAAAGTCGATTAATCAAGATAGTCTAATTTCCCAGTAACACACGTAACATAATTTTGCATTTTTTTCTGTAAAAACTTTAGTAAAAAAGAAAATTTAAAAATTTTTTGTTTTATAAATTAAGAAGGCAAGATATGCAACGGAAAAAATTCTCGAATTAAAACTGCCAATAGTTAAAATTTTATAATTAATTTTATTCAAGGTAACACACGTAACGAAAAGTTACGCGCGTTACTGTTATGTGTGTTAGAGGTACTTATACACTTTAATTATTTAT